CAGGGAGCACCCGGGCACAGGGAGCACCCCGTGGCTCAGTGGAGCCTCAGTGGAGCAGGAGAGGCCCAGGGAGCCCCAGCTCAGGGTGAAGGCACCCGGGGACCCCCATTCTGGAAGAACCCCGACTTGGGGGGAGCCTCAGCTCTGAGGGTTCCCAAATTCTGGGGGAGCCCCAGCTCGGGGGGAGCCCCAGTTCAGATCCCCAGCTCCAGGGCAGGGACTGGGAGGAGGGATAAGCACCTGGCAGGGAAGGAGTCGGGGCCTCCCCCAGCCCCCCCAGAGGAGCCCCCCCAGCGCAGGGACGGGGCAGGAGCCGGGGGGGAATGGGGGTGTCTCCCTGTCCGTGATTCACCCCCAAACTCCTGGAGCAGCCAATCCCACACCGGGAATTCCTACCAGGACTGGGACCGGCCCCAAACCCGGGGGGGTCCCACAGCCCAACCCAGACCCCCCTCCCGGGGAGGGGCCGGGGGGCTCCCGGTGCCTCTGCCTGGGCCGGGGAAAGGAGGCCCAGAACCGGCCAAGTGTGGGGAGAAGTGACCCAATAACGGGCTAAACACCCCCATAACGGGGTAGAGACCCCCATAACGGGAGGGGGGGTAACGACCCCCATACTGGGGAGGGGGAAACACCCCCATAGCGGGGAGGGGGGTAAAACCCCCAGAACGGGGCACCGCCCGCTCCCCACGGGGAGGACCCGGCCCCGACACCGCGACACCTCCGGGAGGGGGGTCCCGGCCCCCCCAGTTCTTCCCCAAACCCCGCCCGGGGGGTGGCGCCCCCCCAACCTCCCCCAGCTCCCCGGGGCCCGCCCGTGCCCGCGCTCCCGCCCCCCCGTGCCCCCCCCGCTCCCGGCGCCGCCCCGGCGGTGCCGCCCCCCCGGTGCCCCCCCGGTACCTCCGGTCGCTCCCGGCGCGGCCCCGAGCGCACAAACAGCGCTCAACCAAACCCTGCTGCCGCGGGCGGGACCGAGCGGCGCCACAGCCAATCAGCGCCGCACCCGCCTCCGCGCCGCGCCAATGGGAGGACGGGCCAGGGCATGGCGCCCCGCCCCCGCGCGGCTTAGCAAATGGGCGGCGGCGAGCGGGGAAATGGGCAGGGAAACGGCCAATAAGAAGGGAGGGAGCGTCATGAGGAGGCGGGGCTTAGGCTGAGTGACGCGGCATGGGACCAATGGAGCCGCGCAGAGGGCGCGGAGCCGGCAACAAATAAGGTGACCTAAGGGGGCGGACCTCGGGAGGGCCAGCAGCCAATGAGAACGCGGGAAGCTGCAGCCTCGCCCAATCACAGGAGGTGGTTCCCGTGACTGACAGGAGGGGCCGCCGGAAGCCGCGACCCATGAGCGCCCCGCCCATGGCTGGGGGGCGGGCCCACGGCTGGCCAATCGCGACGCTCCAGGGCGCACGGGGGCGTGGCCTAGGGTGCCCCCGGGGCTGGGGGGACACGGGGGGGTTCGGGGGGCAAAGGGGACACGGGGGGGCCCTACGGGGGGGCCCTACAGGGGCACATGGTGGGGACGGGGGGACACAGACGGGGGAACGGGGGGAAGGTCTGGGTGCCATTTGGGGGGCCCCACGGGCAGAGGGGGCAATGGGGGAGTGATGTGACGGATCAGGGGGCGATGGTGACACGGTCCCCCCCCGGAATCCCCCCCGCCCCCCCTTGCAGGCACCACACGCCAAGTTCGACATTTGCTACGAAAATTTGCAGAAGTTACAAGAAAAACCCACGAGGGGGGAGGGGAGGGGCAGCAGGGCCCCCAAGGGGGGGGCGGGGGCCCAGGGGGGGACAAGGGGGAGTCCCCATCAGTGGGAGTCCCCCGGGGTGAAACCAATGTCCCACCCCCGCGGGGCTGAGAGGAGGGAGGGACAGGACCCCCCCATAGCACCGAGCTTGGGGACAGCGAGGAGGGGGAGGAGGATGGGGGGGGGACACAAAGGTGCTCAGCACCCCCCCGTGCTGGTCCCAGAGACCCCCCCAGAGGGGCCATTAAGTGCCAAGAGTCCAGGTTGGGGGGGGCCCCGTGGGTGCTGTGGGGGCAGAGCAGGACAGGCCTTGGGACCCCCCCCTGTCCCGGTGGGGGGGGTCTGGCTCTGCTCTGGGGGGACCCCTGGGGTGGGGGGGTTCTCAGAGGCGCAGGTGGGGGACAGCTCGGGTGACATCCTGGAAAAAGGGGTGTCCCAGCGCCGCCTTGGCGGAGATCCTCTTGTTGGGGTCGTAGTGCAGCATTTGCTGGGGGAGGAAAGGGGGTGAGGGGGCGGTTGGGGGGTCCCACACGCCCCCCACACCGCCCCGAGCCCCTCACTCACCGCCAGCAGCTTCCGCCCCTCCTCGTCCAGCGGAGGCACCACTTTGCCGAAGTCCTGGCGGGCCCATTTCGGGAAGCTGGGCTTGTAGTCGGGCATGGCCGAGACCCCCGGCCAGGCGGCCTCGTCGGGGGTCCCCAGGGTGCGGAAAATCCGGAAGAGTTGGTCGATCTCCGAGTCCCCCGGGAACAGGGCACGGCGGGTGATCTGGGCAGGGGGTGGGGGGGGACCCCAGAGTCACCTCAGGGGGGCCTGAGCACCCTGGGGGACCCCAGAGCCACCCGAGGAGGGTCTGGGGACGCTCAGGACACACCCAAGGGACTCCAGAGTCACGCTGGCGGGGTCTGGGGACCCTCTGGGCACCAAACCCTTGGTCTCATCCCAGGGATGCCCATTCTCCCACCCCCCCCACTTCTGAGCCCCCCCAGGCGTCCCCCCTGTGCAGAGCTGGACCCCCAGAGGGACAGGGGGTCTCACATCGGGCCCTGCTCCACCCCCAGCATGGCCACGGCCCCTCCTGGGGGTCCCTGGGACCAGCACTGGGGGGGCTGAGCACCTTCATCCCTCTCCTCCTCCTCGCTGTCCCCCAGTGCAGCACCAGGGGAGGTCTCTCCCCCTCGGATGGGGGTCACACGCGGCCCCCCACCCCGTGAGCTCTCACACCAGCCCCTCGTGACCCCCCGGTCCCGGATTTCCGGGGGCTGCGGTCGCCCGTGTGACGTGGGCACGGGGGGGCCTCACATGATGTCCCCCCCGGACCCTCACAAAGCCCCTTTGTCACCCCACACCCCGCTGACGTCAGGGCTGCACCC